TGTGGGAGACCTGGGTTCCATCCCTGCGTTGAGAAGATTCCCTGGAGAAGGGAAAGGCCACCCACTCCAGTATTCTGGCCTGGAGAATTCCATAGACTGTATAGTCCATGGGGTGGCAAAGAGTTGGACATGACTGAGCGACTTTCACTTCACTTCACTTAACCAGAGAAGAATGGACCCACTAAAGAAAGTGAATCCTGAGTCATAGATACCTCTTGACACTTCCTTTCTAACTCACTGATGTAAATCCAGGGAGTTCAACCAATGAGGTATCTCAGTTTGTCTGTGAGCACTCAGGGTCACAGTTAGACAGCCTGAGAGACCGCCTGATGACCATGTACCAGCCATCTAGGTACATACGGAGAATGACAGCCATCACAGACAAAGGTAAACCCTGCCAGGATACAAATCACTTCCGTCAAGGCAGCGCTGCTAGTGGATTCACTCACAGGGATAGTTAGCTGCATATGCCTATTCCAGTTAGATGTCAGTTAGGTTTTCTCCTAGCCCCAAATCATAGTTGTTTTCAATTTCAGAGACTACCTCCCTTATCAATGGCCTGGGAGATACAGATGATGGTTTACCTTCTCAGGCCGATGCCAGAGTGAAAGAAAGGGAAGGAAAAAAAAAGAAAAGAGAGAATTTCATCTTCAGTTGAAGTATGAAGTGTTGATCTGATGTCCTGGAGGGAGCATCCACCTCACTGTCTGCTGCCTCTCTTCCTACTCAAGTTGATTTAGAGATTCAGTATTTTACAAGACCGGATGTCAGGTGGATCTTCAGCTGTGAGATGTATATGTAAGGTTTAAGACCCTAGAGACTGGCTGCCATGCAGGTAGCAAGGAGGACCTGATAGAGTCCCTTCCAAGGAGGTTCAAGGGCAGTCTTCGTTCTCACTGACTCCAATTCAGAAAGGTGGGAGACAATTGAAATGTTAGCTTGGAGAGTTGTAGCCAGATATTTGAGGAAACCAGAAAAATTCAGGATTCAGTCCAGTTTATGGGTATATGTGTCCTAGTTGCTGCTAAGTCGCTTCTGTCATGTCCGACTCTTTGCAACCCTATGGACTGTACCTTGCCAGGCTCCTCTGTCCATGGGATTCTCCAGGCAAGAATACTGGAGTGGGTTGTCATGCCCTCCTCCAGGGGATCTTCCTAACACAGGGGTCAGCCCTCGTCTTTCATGTCTCCTGCATTGACAGTCGGGTTCTTTACCACTAGCGCCACCTGGGACCCCCGAAGTCTGATTTGCTCTGCTGTGCTTAGTCGCCCAGTCATGTTCGACTCTGCGGATCTCATGGACTGTAGCCTTCCAGGCTGCTCTGGCCATGGGGAACATCAAGGTTCAAATACAGTTTTTCTCCCTACAATTATTCCTGCTTTGTAAAAAATTCTTTATAAGAATAATCCCAGTAAAACTTAAATTTTTTTTTCATTAAATTTGGCTTGATTATTTACATAAGCGCAGCAAGAATAATGATTGACCATGTAAGCTCTTTTTAGGATTGCTTTGCTGGAACCTTGAAAGCAAGGTCCCCTCTGAGTCTATGTACATCTCTCTCCAATGTGACAATCCAGTCCAAGCCTTGGTATTGTAGCCAGTGTTTCCAATTGTGTTCCATTACGAGGAGAACAGATTCTTTTTGAACATATGTGAATGACTACCTATATTGCCATGAAAAGAATGTATTGAGAGTTTCTGAATTCTGGAGAGATCACATAGAAAAAAAATGTCATTTTTGTTTAAAAAGGTATGCTTTATTGATTGCTGTAAGTCATAGATTATTTAAAAGAAAACATTTCTTTAAATCTGGAAAAATAAAACATGAAGAAATATGCACTGAATTAGAACAAAAACTCATACAAATTATAATCAACCTCCTCAGTTTATTTAATTCAATGTAATTAATATTGGCTCTATTTGAATCTAGTTTTTCCATTATTCTGGAATTCTTACCCTGTTTAGTTTTATGATTCTAAAATGATCAGAAACCTGTACTCTAGAATACCTGTTAGAGTTCAGAGTTCTTTTTATGGATTTCTCTGAAGATGAAACAGTTTTGTAGGAACACTTTTGCAAAAGCATCAGAATAAAACAATTAACTATTGTAAATGACAAAATCCTTAAGATGCCCATTATTAAATATCTGATAAGAATTCATGGTAATGGAATTGACAAGGAAATTTGGTAATCTTTGCAATGAGTAATGTTTACGATAAATAGAATTATGACTGATAACATCATACCAGGAAATAATAGATTTCCAGGAAGTTCATACAATTTCCATAACACATACCTATGTAAATATAACATAAAGAAGGTTTGGACTTCCCCAGTGGTCCAATGGTTAAAAATCCACCTGCTAATGCAGGGGACATGGGTTCGAACCCTGCTCTGGGAAGATTCCACATGACACATTAAAACCGTGCACCACGACTGCTAAAGCCCGTGCACTTTAGAGCCGTTGCTCTGTGTGAGAAGCCTGAGGACCACAACTAGAGTGTAGCCCCACTCGCTGCAACTAGAGAAAGCCTGTGTGCAGTAATGAAGACCCAGCGCAGCCAAAAATAAATAAATTTTTTTTTAAAAAGAAAAAAGCCTGAACACTCAAATCATTAAAAAAAAAAAAAAAAAAAAGCTTAGTATTACTTGTTTGACAAAGTTTTCCACGTAATTTAACATATCAAATAATCTTAATTAGTGTAACAGCCCTCTTTTTATAAGGAGAAAGAAAATGCCTTTTCTGATTTTTCCAAAGTACCTCTGGAAAATAACAAAGTTATTTCCAGGTCAAAAAGACTTCACTTAGAATTTGATTTTGGGAAGTTCTGCCAAAAAATTAAAAAGATTTGGACACAACTAAAAAGGATCACAGATCATTTTGAAACAATATCTAATTACCCACTTAATTATTCAAATAGAATAGAATGGAGGTTTTCAAGAGCAAATGCAGTAAGTTACATACTTCTGAGCCAAACTTCACTTTTTAAATATTGAGATGACTCAGTTTATTTAAATAATCAAAGACTTGATAATAAAGATATAAAGCACAAAAAATTATTTTGATAAAACACAAAGTCTTTGCTTTCTAAACAGACTGTTTTAAAGATAAAGGAAAGCTTTTCAAATTTCTCATAAGGAGTAGATCTTTTTTTATTAATAGATCTAATAAAATTTGCCCTTTTAGCAGATGAAAGAAAATTAAGTTTTAGTTTTGCATAAGAATATTTTAGTATTTAAGCTTATTTTAAAACTCTTATAGTAACAATTATTTTTTTTAGCTAACTTGACCACACAGGGTTTCCTCTTTTTTCCTCTTTTTCTTTCTTTCATTCTTCTTTATTTTCTATGTCCATAGTTTTTCCGTAATTTTTCTCCTTCCTATTTTAAAATAACTAGCTTTACTTTAGAAGAAAACCACTATTATTTCCCTCAACAAAATATATTGCCATACCGCATACCCTTTTAAACCAAAAAAAAAAGCCTCTGAAACAAAAAAATACATCCTATTTTCCTTGCATACACAATTATTTCTTGTTGTTTTAAATTACATGAGTGACTGAGCTTGCACACGTTAGAATTCTTAACCCTTAGAAGCCTTAATTTGTAGTGAACACTTGCTAAGCAATTAAGAACTGTTACCCTAGCATTCTTTAGACTAGTAAATTTATGAATACATTTCATAATTTTTAGAAAAACATGCTTCCTCATAGTAAACATTTTTAATGTGGCACTAACCATATTTACTAATAGATCCAAATATCTTTAGTTCCTCTGCAAAAGGAAACCAAAGTGCGTAAAATTTATGTTCAGTAATTAAAATTTTAGTATTTTATCTTGTTTAGAAGTGATCTAGATGTTCAGTGAACTTCTGTGGAGGGGAGCAGTAGGAATTACATCAGTCCTATAGTCTTTTTTTGGATACCTTTTATAGCTCTAATTTTTTATCTGGCTTTTGCAATGAAATTTTCAATGAAACTATTTTGGAATTTGAAGTCTTTTGGAGGCTTCTGCATGCCAGTTAAAATAGGTATTCCTTGCTTTTAAGTGCTCTTCTTAAATGCTCTTGTCTAATTGGAACATTCCTGTTAATGGCCATTGTAATTCCCCTTAAGACAGCAGTTTGCTAGGAACCTTAGCAGCGTATGGAGTTCAACCTCCTTTTCTTTCTGTTCAGCCATGTTTGGGGCCCCAAACATGGGGCCCAGTTTGATGTCACACCAAGTTCTCATGCACAAAAGTCTAGCTTGTCTTTAGTAAGGTTTTGGCCATTTTGAGGGGTAGGTATTTATAGTTTCTGAGACAGTTTTTAGATGTAAAATGAGCAGGTACGCTCGAGTTTATGCTAACCTCTCCCAACCGCCATGAGTTTAAGTTGTTTTATTTTGAAATTCGAATCCTGAGGTTTCTGGGAAATCATCCTCCATACAATGTGGTTGCTCTTTAGCTGCTGCCGTGTCCAGCTCTGCAAACCCATGGACTGTAGCTGCTTCGGGCGCCTCTGTCCCTGGGATTCTCCAGGCAGTAATACTGGAGTGGATTCCCATTTCCTTCTCTAGGGGGTCCCCTCAACCCAGGGATTGAACTTGCGTCTCCCGCATTGGCAGGTGGAATTCTTTACCACTGAGCCACCAGAGAAGGCCCACACCACGTGGAAATCTCTGTATAAGCGTTTCCCAGTGACTTCTGAGAACTGTCTTGAGGGACTCAGTAAGTTTCTGCTGAATGAATGAATGATCCCAGGATTAAATAAATCGGAGGAGTGCTGTACTGATTGCCTCTTCTAGGAGGGTCAGAACACACATTAGCATGTTAGAAGTCCTGGTAAGTCCTGTAGCAGAAACTTCTCCATGGCTCTGCTATCCAGAGAAGGAAGTTTTTACTGACACTAGTTTAAGAACAGATGCTCTGTCAGAGTGTTTTTCAGGGCGCCGAGGGGGTGAGTTTTAAGGGAGGTAATTATCCCCTAATTGATTTACCTTCTTTTTCCCCCTGTGCAGCCTCTTGATTTTGAAACAGTCGCCATTCATAATATTGTCGTCCAAGCAGAAAATCCCGAGCCTCTGGTGCCTGGCGTACAGTATAACGCCAGCTCTTCTGCTACCTTCAGACTGACGGTGACAGACGTGAATGAGGCCCCGCAATTTTCCCAACAAGTATTTGAAGCAACAGTCAGTGAGGCTGTGGCTAAAGGCACAAAAGTGGGCAACGTGACTGCCACGGATCCGGAAGGTCTGGACGTCAGGTAGAGCGGAGCCGTGCGGGGAAGCTTGGCTGGGTGCCGTGGTCACGGCCCGTGGGAGAAGGAAGGACTGGGGGGCAGGGGAGAGAAGCTGGCCTGACTCGAGGGCTCTCCCCTAAGGGATCTGAAGAAACTTGGTGAATCTGCCCTTGGTTTCGGCAGGTGCCAGTCACCTGGGGGGCATCGGGGAGCATCCAGGCTCCGGAGCGGGAAGCAGGTCAGATTCCAGCCCGGCCTGCCTACTGCAGGTCTCCGCTGAGAGCTGGGGAGTCCGCAGGTGGGGCTGGAGACTGCCAAGAGGTAGGCCCTGGGTCTGGGCCGGTCACAGGGCCAGGTCCGGAGACGAGCTCCAGCTCCTGAGGCAGGCGGGCGTTCTAGACAGCAAAACAAAGCAGCAACCTGACGGGGTGGATTCAACTGCCTGAGCGGGTGAAGGGAACCGTCTCCTTGAGGGGCTCTTCAGAGCAGGTCCAGGGCAACAAGGTTCATTCTGGAGCTCAGCCCTGGAAAGGTGAGTACGTGGGCAGAGATGGTTACACAAGATGTGTAAGTATCTCCATTTTAGTAGTTCTCATTGTTTTTTTTCAGGGTGATAGAACCCACGCAGGTTTTCCTTAAATATGTGCAACAATAAATCAAATTTTCCAAGATAACAGATGGATGTGTATACATTCATGTCTGTATCAATATCTATAACCTTCTTAAGATCATCTCGTTAATAAGCCCAAGGACAGGACTTGAACCTGGATCTTTTGTTTCTATTGTATAACATCAGCCCTACTGTCCCTGGCATGACAAATATTTTAGCATGGCTTAAAACCTATGCAAGTGATTATGAATGTTATGAATGACAATTCCTCAAGTGTCTCTAAATATTTGAGGGGAGTCTTGCCTCCCACTGAGTGATCCTTTTGGCACTTGGAATCAGTTTCAAGACATTTTTCTGATTGTTTGTCAGAGTAAAGTTCCCACCTACTATTTTACACTGCAAGCACTTATCAACTTTCACAAAGACAAATAAGAGAAAAGACGTGTTGTACTGCATGGTTAGTGTAGATACTACTCTGTACGTCAGAGTTACTAAGCGTGATGGGGCACGAAATGTTCCTAATTTTACAACAGTTTACTCTTTAACAAATGCTTCTATCTCCTTCATGAGAATGCTGTGAGAAAGTCATTAGTCAGAGGCAAGTGAATACAAATTTGAGTTTATGAGGGGAGAAAACTAAGTCATTTAAGAACATTCCTCAGATAGATGTTCATTCTTTCATCTGAGAAAAAGATATGATGTATGTACCATTAAGTTAAAATCAGGAAGATAAATAGAAGGATAATGTCCTGGAAGAAACAAATGAAAAGAGTACTTCATGAATGAAGAGTAATCAACAGTTGGGATGCTAGGAGTAAGTCAGCTCCAAAGCTGCTGCTGAAACCTGAGCAATTTAATTCTCTTTCTTTTAGATCCACAAACTTGGAATCCATTAGCACCCAATGGATCTTAGTCCAATCTATCAGTAAATATTAGTGATTCTTTCATTGAAATATATCCAGAATTCAACTGCTTCTCATCACTTCCACAGTGATCCAGGCCACATTATCATCTCTTCCACCCATCCATTCACTGCAATGAGGGCAGGTCTTTAAGAACGTAAAATCACGTAACTCCTCTGAAAACCCTCCAGAGGGTTTCCATCTTACTCAGAAATCCCGACTACATCAGTTCAGTTCAGTCGCTCAGTCGTGTCCGACTCTTTGCGATCCCATGGACTGCAGCATGCCAGGCTTCCCTGTCCATCACCAACTCCCAGAGCTTGTTCAAACTCATGCCCATTGAGTCAGTGATGCCATCCAACCAAACACAGGCAATTTTTAATTCATTGCCCATACACAGAGCCTAACATAGTGCTTGACATATAGAATATTCTAACACTGGGAAAAAATTAGTTTGAACCAACAACATCATTACTTTTTAATCATTCTCATACTCCCAGACATGTAGGTTGTTTCCAGTATTTTTTAAGTTATAGAAAAGTTTTAAATGTATGTGTATAATTTGTTTTTTTTTTAATATACACTGGTGTTTTATTTTATTTTATTTTTTTTCTTTTTTTTTTTTCCCCATCCCAGTCCCCCTATAATTTGTTTTTAAAACTTCTATTAAATTGTTTTTTACTGGGAGAAAATTTCCAGACGTGGGGTTTTTTAAATTTAAAGATATAGACATCCTTATGGCTATGACACTTTGTTCCCAAAAGGCTGTAGCCATCTGTTTTCCTTTGGTTCTAGATTTTTCTCACTCAAATTCACCTTTCATGCACCTAGCAATGAGTTCTACTGAAAACACAGACATGACTAGGTCACCATCCCCTGACTGACCATTGCTTCCCGTGGCCCAGCTCCTTCCATCCCTTGAGCTTCATCCTTTGCCGTCCACTGTGTCCTATTTTTATCCCTTCACGCCTGGAACGTCTGATGCCCCCACACCCTTAGCTACTCCTTGGCCTCTCTGCCTTAGTTCCTTCAATTTCTTCTGCTTAAAGCATCCTTCTTTTTCTCGCTTTAGTTAACATCTACTGTTTCAAATGTTTCAGAAAAACATCTATTTCTGCTTTATTGACTATGCCAAAGCCTTTGACTGTGTGGATCACAATAAACTGTGGAAAATTCTGAAAGAGATGGGAATACCAGACCACCTGACCTGCCTCTTGAGAAACCTGTATGCAGGTCAGGAAGCAACAGTTAGAACTGG